GTGTGTGTGTGTCCCTAAGTGTTTTTATAACGACATGAGATGATTTTAAGTCAATATACATTCAGAAGATTCTGTGTAGGCCAGATTTTAGTAGTGCTGCCCTGCTTCTTTAAAAAATACTATACCAACTATAGCTGTTACCATAGCAACTGTAGAATCACCACAACAGATCAATTACTGTAGTAATTGTGTTACCATGGCAACTGTAGAATCATCACTGTTGTGTTGCCATAGCAACTGTAGAATCACTTACTCGATTACTATCGTTGTAGTTGTTACCATAGCAACTGTAGAATCACCACAACAAATCGGTTTCTATAGTAATTGTTACCATAGCAACTGTAAAAACACCACAACAAATCAGTTACTATAGCAACTGTAGAATCACCACAGCAGATCAGTTACTATAGTTGTAGTTGTTACCATAGCAACGGTTGAATCACCACAACAGATCAGTTTCTATAGTAATTGTGTTACCATAGCAACTGTAGAATCATCACTGTTGTGTTACCATAGCAACTGTACAATCACCACAACAAATCAGTAACTATAGTAATTGTGTTACCATGGCAATTGTAGAATCATCACTGTTGTGTTACCATAGCAACTGTAGAATCACTTACTCGATTACTATCATTGTAGTTGTTACCATAGCAGCTGTAGAATCACCACAACAAATCAGTTACTATAGCAACTGTAGAATCACCACAGCAGGTCAATTACTATAGTTGTAGTTGTTACCATAGCAACTGTTGAATCACTACAACAGATCAGATTCTATAGTAATTGTGTTACCATAGCAACTGTATAATCATCACTTTTACCATAGCAACTGTAGAATCACCACAGCAGACTATAGTTACTATAGTTGTTACCATAGCAATTGTAGAATCACCATAACAGTTGTTGTTACCATAGCAACTGTAGAATCATCACTGTTGTGTTACCATAGCAACTGTAAAATCACCACAGCAGATCAATTACTGTAGTTGTCGTGTTACCATACAACTATAGAATCACCACAACAGATCAATTACTGTAGTTGTTACCAAAGCAACTGTAGAATCATCACTGTTGTTTTACCATAGCAACTGTACAATCACCACAACAAATCAGTTACTATAGTTGTGTTCCCATAACAACTGTAGAATCACCACAGCAGATTATCTAAAGTACTATACAGTAATGTGGTGTAAAAGTGTACAGCATTCACTATACAGCACTACAGTAAGTGCAGCCTCATCTGTGTGTTCGTATATGAGCGCTCATCAGTGTAAGTGTGTTTCCTCCTCTGTTAATGTGATTTAATAACTCTGAGCTCCTGCGGGACCCTCATTCAGAGCTTCAGGGATTCTCCAGAGTCTCCTGCTGTCGTATATAAGCTCATCAGACCTGATCTGCTCCTCAAACACACACACACACGCTGAACGGCAGGCATGGATGCGGGTGTGTGGTTCATGTTGGTGGGTGTTCTGCTGGTCATGGCTGATCAGAGTCGGTCCATTACTCAAGATGAAGCGCTGGAGCAGAACAAACGGCTGCTGGAGGAGGACGAGGAGCAGGACCACATGCTGGAGAGACCAGGAGCCGCGGTGAGACACACACACACACACACACACACACACACACTGCACAAAACATTAACACTCACTGAAATAGAGCTTTTCCCAGAGATGGGTTGCAGCTGGAAGGGCATCCGCTGTGTAAAACATATGCTGGAATAGTTGGCGGTTCATTCCGCTGTGGCGACCCCTGATTAATAAAGCGACTAAGCTGAAAAGAAAATGAATGAATAAAATAGAGCTTTTACCAACAAATGGCACTGCTGAACGCTGGATTCTGATTGGCTGATACTCACGCTCAGGTGTTTGGTTATTGTCAGATAAAGGCTCAGCTAAAGTAGTTCCGGCAGCTTTAGAGCAGAATAATGCGCTCCGGGCTGAGTTATTAGTAAACTCTTTCAAACTGAATTAAGAGAGCTGCATGACGTAACGGTAAAATATACTATTATTAAAAGAGCATGCAGTTAATCAGTGTTACTTTTATAAGCAATAAAATACAGCACTAACTGAAATAAAATAGTCCTGCTTCATTAAAAAACAACTAAACGAATAAAACTCGATATTAAAATTAAAATAAATATCATTTTAAAAAGAGATCTCTGTGATGTTACAATAACACTGACACGTCGTCAGTTATTCCGTACATAACTCATCCTTTTTGGTGATTGTGAACATTGTGTTGGTAATTAAACAAACCATATTAAACGTAAAAGACATCCTGACTTTACTCACATTCAACTGGCTTTAAAAACTGGTGTTAAAATAAATGTAAATAGTTTCTAAAATTCAATATTCATTCATTCATATTCTTTTCGGCTTAGTCCCTTTATTATTAGTCCGGCGTCACCACAGAGGAATGAACCACCAACTTATCCAGCACGTTTGTACCCAGCGGATGCCCTTTCAGCCATCTCTGGCAAATGAATTTAATATCATGATAAATTCAGATAAAAAGATGAATTAATCATGACTTTTACACTCATGAACTGATGAAATTCTTCATCTTAAAGGGACAGTTCAGCACAAAAACCACAGATATCCTCAACATTTACTCAGGTGGTTTTAAACTTTGATGAGTCTCTTTCTTCTGTCAAACGCAAATGAAGATACTCTGAAGAATGCTGACATTTACTTCAGTAGCAGGAACAAAACTGTTTTCCAGCATTCTTCAGAGTATCTTCCTTTGTGTTGAACAGAAGAAAGAGACTCACTCTGAGTTATAACAGGTGGTGGATGAGGAAATGATGACGGAATACACATTTCTGTGTGAACTGACCCTTTAATCGTATTGAGATGCAGCTTAAATCCAACAGCAGCTTCATACATTCATTCATTTATTTTCTTTTGAGCTAAGTCCCTTTATTAATCTGAGGTCACCACAGTGGAATGAACCGCCAACTTATCCAGCACATGTTTTGTGCAGCAGATGCCCTTCCAGCTGCAACCCATCACTGGGAAACCAGCAGCTTGAGAATATTCAAATGCTTGAGGTGTGAGCAATGCTGATGCTGGTGTGTGTGTGTGTGTGTGTGTGCGTGTGTGTGTGCGTGTGCGTGTGCGTGTGCGTGTGTGTGAGCAGCAGATGAATGGTCTTCTGGAGGATCGTCTGCTGGTGGAGATGCTGCGCTCCTTACTGCACGGCTCTCAGAGATACGAGCGCAACCCTTCAGTGCTGCACCAGCCTCAGCGGTGGGTCACACACACACACACACACACACACACACACACACACACACACAGGACCGGATTTAACCAACAAGCAAGGAAAGTGGCTGCTTAGGGTCCCAGGATATCTGAGGGCATCCAAATAAAACCCTAGAAGTACAAATTCATTCATTTTCTTTCAGCTTAGTCCCTTTATTTATCAGGGGTCACCGCAGCAGAATGAACCGCCAACTTATCAAGCATATGTTTTGCGGAACAGATGCCCTCCAGCTGCAACCCATCACTGGGAAACACCCATACATCAAATGTCATTGTTTACCCTCCCTTTACTTGTTCCCTTTCTGTTCCTCTGCATAAGAAGATGTTTTGAAGAATGCTGGAAACCTGTCACTATTGACTTCCACAGCAGACATAACTAATCATCCAGAAGCTCATGCATGTTCAGAACTGTTTGAGGGAGAATAATAGTGAGTAAATGGCAGTGAGAGTAACTATCATTCACAGGTTAGTGAGTAAATGACCTGTTTCCTGCAGTCAGTGGGTCTCCTCTCGGCCTCTACAGTGCAGGGTGAGGTGGGGAACCAGCAGGCCTCAGTAATAGAACAGAAGCAGTCCTGAGACAGACCCGCGGGCCACAGCAGTGGATGTTTCTCATTTCAGCTGATGTTAAAGCCGTGTACAGCAGTGAGTGTGGATCTTCCGTCTGCTGCTGTCTGTGAGTGTGTTCTGGGTTTACTCCTGCAGGTTTGGTCGTGGAGCGCGCAGTGGTTTGTCCACAGAGGAGCGAATACAGTCCCGGGACTGGGAGACGGTGCCCGGACAGATCTGGAGCATGGCTGTACCGCAGAGATTCGGCAAAAAATAACGCAAACCCGACAGAGAAACGTCAGAGATGTCTGTGGAGTGATGCATACACACAATTACTGCATCCAGAATCATATCTGTGAGCGTGTCATTAAAGCATTTATATTGGTAAAGATGTGATTATTAATCCCCCTGTGAAATGAACAGAGTTTTAAATGTCTCCCAGTCACAGCAACATATCTAATGCTGTTTACCATTTTTTCTTCTGGATAAATTATTTCACTTAGTTTGACTGGAATAAAAGCCTGTTTCTGTTTGCCTACTGAGAAAATCAACGATGTCAGTCGACTTGCCTAGTTCAGCCTGCACATTAAGCTGAACACCAGTGTCTTGAAGAATATCTAGTCTAATATTATGGGCTGTCATCATGGTGAAGAGGAAACACATCAGTTATTAGACATGAGTTATTAACACTGTTATGATTAGGAATATTTAAGCAGCATTCCTCCATTAAACAGCACTCGGGGAATATTTCAAAACAATCACAGTTTCACAGGAGAGCGAGAGACTCTTCATCTGCATCTCAGCGTAATCACTCAGCATGTTGCATCTCATCTGTGATCGTCAATAAACCCATACAACAGTGATATGAAGCGTAGTGATGATGTTTTATAAGCTGTGTGTGCGTGTGTGTGTGTGTGTGTGTGTGTGTGTGTGTGTGTAAATGTTCAGCTTCTGAAGCTTCTTGTTTGTTTTATGTACAGTCTTGCTTGGTTGAGCTTTTGATTTACCGGTGTTGAACTCAGCTCCTGGAGGGCCGCAGCTCTGCACAGGTTTGGCGCAGCCCTAACTAAACACCCTTCAGGCAGGTGAGCGTACTGAAGCTGGGCTGGAACTAAACTGTGCAGGGCTGTGACCCTCCAGGAGTTTGACACCGCTGATTTAAAGGGCACCTATTGTGTGAACATGATCATATGCAGGGTTTAACCACAGTTTGTGTGCATCAGAACTGTGTGAATATCTTCATTTGCTTCCAATGATGAAGATAGATTAATTGTATTCATTATGATCAGATATAATAAATCAGTCTGCAGACACACTTGATTAACATTTTCCCTTTGTACGTGTCATTACCCTAGTAAAGCCTTTAAATGTGACTTTAAGCTGAACACTAGTGTCTTGAAGAATATCTAGAGTAATATTATGTGCTGTCATCATGCTGAAGAGAAAATAAAGTTCATCGCTGTTAGTAATCAGTCATTAAAACCATTTAAAATGTGTTAAAAATGACGTCAGTGGCGCTGTGTGCGCTGCTCCTCGTCCAGCACTAGGTGGCGTGTTTCATCCACTGATGTCAGACTGAGTCAGTGACCGCTGGGTGGCGCAGGCTTACTTTACACAGACTTCATTAAGTGAGTTGTGTACAGAAATGAAAATCCCTCAGTCTTGCTATTCCGTATAGAAATGATGTATTTCTTCTACAACGCAGCTCTGCACAGTTTACTTCCACACCTGATCACACTAATTGAGTTTATTAGGCTCGTTTAATACCTACAGAGAGCAGGGCAGGAACTAAACTGTGCTGGGCTGAGGCCCTCCAGGAACTGAGTTGACACCCCTGAACTACATGAAGATATTAAGCATGAGCCGTTTACTCTGCTAACATTATTACTATCTGCTCATAACCCTCATGAAAAACACTGCAGGCATTTATAGTAGGTATACTGTAGTAAAGACATTTAATTGATCTGTTGTGGTGATTCTACAGTTGCTATGGTAACACAACAACTATGATAATGTAAACAAATGAGCCAGTACTGTAGCTTTCTACAACTATAGGGTATATTATACTGCACTACACCACAGTTGACTGTAGTAAACACTAAAGTACACTACAGTATTTATTATCACTCTAGTAAACACTATGCTGGAGCATTGATTAACAAAGAGACACTACAATATAATACACTTTACTATCGTGTGGTTTGAAAACACTACAGTATTTAATAGACTTTAGAGCAGTGGTGCTCAAACTTTTTTCACCAAATACCACCTCAGAAAACAATAGTCTCTCCAGGTACCACCATGATGACCAGTATAGAAATAAAGCAGTGTAGTAGGCCAAATCAAGCAGCTCCAGCACTGCACAGTTCAAAAACGAGACAGAGTCATATTCATGTTAATACAATTTTTAATAAATTATGACATATACGTTGCATGTACATGTGACATATTTGTAAAACTTTTGAAAATCTAAATATTAACTTGTATGTAGACAGGGGAACCGGTTTTTCTCAGAGGATCTCAAGCTGACAATATTATATGTTATATATATAATATATAATGTATATTCCATACAAAATATGAAGCTGATCGGTCAGTTCTTGTTACGTGACTCGCGGTGCGGCATTCTGAAAAGATGTTTTAACTGGGCACACCTGGAATACGAAAGTGCATCATGCTGCTTGCGTCTTCATTATAAATAACAAACTTGCATGTAGAAATGACACGATATGTGAACATTATCGTACACATCAAATGATTAAAATAGGATTCAATTTTCCATTCATTACTCAGTGATTCCTCCACGTACCACTAGATATAAGCCCCTGTACCAGTAGTGTACATGTACCACAGTTTGAGAACCACTGCTTTAGACAATACACTGTAGGTAAAAAATAAATAATAATAATTGTTATTATTACTGCTACTACTGCTAATAAATGAACTATTACCATAGTGGTTTTTGCATTACAACTCATTTCTAAAATGTTGTTTACATCTGCAAATAAGTCAAAATGTGCAAACATCTGAACAATGAAGGAAGTCAAAAATTCCTGTTTGATTATTTTACAGCTGATTTTCCATATGTCTCTTTTGCATCACTCTTTATAATTTAGAAAATACTGCAAAGAGATGGAAAATTTGCAAATAAACCAACAAAAAATATTTATTAAAACATTTATTGTGGAACAGAACTATAATATAGCTTTTAATCAGGCAAATAATGTCTATGGCTCAGTGCAAAATGTGTATAATTATATATGTGTAATGAGCATATAGTGTATAACTTGTGCAATAATAGTTTATTATGGTTTTATTTACAGACACAAATTCAAAACAAAAACTTAAAAGTGAATTTCATGTGCCTCAGTTTTATCTCACTTTTAAACATATTATAACTATTAAACCTGCTTATATATTTACATATTTTACATATTTATAACTTATAAAAAATCTCTAAATCAACAAAGTGCATGTAAGAGAAGTGTGTTCATCTAGTTTATAGCTTCATTTATAATGGGACAGAGTAGTTCACCAACTGAAAACGAACATTTCCTCAATAGTTCTTCGCTGTTTCTTTATTAGTGGCTGTAAACTTTAATGATTTCTTTCTTCTGTTGAACACAAATATAATAATGCTGGAAAAGCTGACTCCAATAGAACAGACATATCTTCCAGCATTCTTCAGAATATCTTCCTTTGTGTTGAACAGAAGACATAAACAGGTTTGATGAGGTGGAGGATGAGAAAATGATGGTGGGATTTACATTTGTGTGTGAACTGACCCTGAAAACTTTAAGGAAACAGTCCTGTTGTTTTTACTCTGAGTTATGTCTGGGCTATTCCTGTAGCAGGGCGCGTCTATACACTTCCTTTGACTTTCTGGTGTAGTTTCCTCATATTAATGACATAAACAAACACGAGGACACATGTATCATACTGATCACAACACACGTGTTGATCAATCTGGGAATTATCCGCCTCGTGTGCTCAGGGTTTGAGGCGGTGCAGTCTAGAAGGGATACAGCTGCGGTTACTCATACTTTTTATGACCCACCCTGTACAACAATAATTCATATTTTACATTACTGTGAGGGCTGGGGTAGGTGTAGAAGTTTGTAAATACAATTAATGGGTCATTTAATAAACAATACGAACTCAGTATACTACTGTTTACGTGAGGGTTTGGTAGGCGTTATAAATACTATTTAT